TTAACATCCCTATATCCGAACCTGTTGAAGTACGAGTTATCTCCATACCCCATGACTCCATTCCCCGAAGGATGCTTCAGGAAAACGAAGAAATCTGCTCTCTATGAGGCTTTCCCTGTGTGTATGGATGCAGTGACCCTCAAAACGAGTTACACTGTAATGGACGGTGGCTTTCTCCTTCACAGAGTCAAATGGAATGTTGGGACCACTTTCTCTTTCATGTGTGAGCAGTATGCTTCATATATAATAAATCACTATTCTTCCAATTGTGCAGTTGTATTCGATGGGCACGAGGACATTAATGCCATAAAACGGTTCAGTTTTCGAAAAAATGTATATAACCAAACTTGTAGCAAATTTAATAAGCTTTCATTTTGTACTGAAGAACTTTTTCACTGTAACGCACAATTTTCGAGTTAAAAGCGAAAAACTGAAAAATGAGGTCGTTTAAAGCCCCCCCCCTTCCCCCAGCGGCACCGGAATTTGGAGGGACTTTATTTTTTCTTGTTCAGGGAACCTCTCCCTACACATTTCTGAAAAAATTGGAACTAGTATTTTTAGTTCCTCTGATTGCCCATTTTTGGTCTAAATTGACTGGGCTAACAAAAAGAAACCTAATGGGGAAAAGTTCGGGGAACAAGCAGACCAAATATGTGGCCCGCGGTTTCCGATTCAATTTCCTGGAATAGTGACATCTAAAAACTCAGATATAATGCCTGCATTATGTGCAGAGCTTGTTAGTAAGACATATAGCATAACATATTCCAGCAGAGGCAGATCTTCTGTTGCAGGAACAACAATGTTACGTAAAACTTCCTTCTGCATTCAAATTTTCTTAATACACATGGAAACACAACATCTTGTTATTTGCACAAAATACAACACTCCAGCCCTCTTGAAAGTGTACCTACTTCACGATTCAAAATAGCTATTTGTGTATTAAGAGCGCAAAATGATATATTGTCGATTGAAAGAGACAGTTGACGCGCGACGAAGGAGCGCGGCAATCTCTTGAAATCGACAATCAATTTGCGCTCGAATTACACACAAGGTTTTTTCTACAATCGAGCAGTTCACATATTTCCAAAAATTAAATTTTTCACTCAAATCATTTTAATCTTATGTCCAAATGAAAGATGTCATTTACTCGTTGTCATTGGATACTCTGAGCAATGCATATTTGATTTATAGTTAATAATTGGGAGAGCGAGCGTTTTTTCTATTTTGTCGCTTATAAGCGACAAAGTGACATTCCTCGAAAAATATGACGTTTGCGTTGTCAAATACGAGCGCAAATGCCTACTTTTGATATCGATTGTAGAAAAAAGTATTTTGATCGCACCAGTAATGTGAGATATGGCGATTAAAATTTCTTTTTTACTAGATTTGACCTCGTCTGACTGTTCCCCAAAACATTATCATCTTCTCGATACCTTAACACTCAATTCGTCTTGGGAGGTCACCTGATTGCAACGAAAGCACAAAATGGACGATAATGGTAGGATTTTATGGATGCAACTAATACTTAAACCCAAAGCAATTTCTGCGTCTTTCAACGAATTAGTGTGGTATGCCGTGAAATATCCAAGGACATTAACAATATGAGTCTCATTTTCAACAATGGATCTTGCTTTAGGTAATTGTTTTGGGGGCACAAAGCTTCCAAAGCTTCTGTCCATTTCCTAATAAGTAACAATTAAATTCCAAAAATCTTCATGGGTGAAAACATTGTGAGTCATTTTTTCATTATTGATAAACTTGTTAACCTGTAACAGGTGACGGATTAGTGTCACTTATAGCTACTATATATACCACAGCTGATTCGTTCGAAGGTTAGTCCTTAAACTTGTCCGCCATTTTGGAGTCCACTGACAATTAACGCTTGCAAAATGTTGCATGTTCTGCTATTGATTTTTTCAAGTTTATTAATGCATAAAGTAACGTAAGATTTTACACATTAAACAGTTTTTCTGTGCACAGATTTGAATTGTCAGTGGGCGCCAAAATGGCAGAAGAGTTTGCTACCTTAATCAAGTGCTGTAGTGTCACCAGATTTGTTTAAAATTCGATTGTCATAAAATACCGAATACTAAAAAAAAATCCGAAAAAAATGGTATCAATTCAATGAAATGGGAATAAGTCAGAAACTGTTAAAGATAGCTATAGATAGGAACATTTAATATCAAAATATGCCAATTTTGACTCTCTATCAAATGCAAGTAAGAAAATTTCATTAAAAAAACTGAGTTTTTAGTCTTTGGAATTTCTTAAATTTGGATCTCTATAGGAGCGGTAGTACACAACTTAACTTTTTTTATGTACCTACACTAAAAGAAAACCCTATTCTTTCCCTATGCACTGGTAAAAATGGGTTGCCATAACTACAACCGTTTTCAAGTACCTAGTCAATTTTCAAGGTACGGTCTGCATTTTTAAAAAGTCAAACTAATTTAAAAACCATAAATTGTGGATATCGACACGTATAATCCAACAATGCAATAAGAAAATAGGGGTTGCCACTTAAAATAACAAAATTACTAGCTACTTCCGGTACTTCCGGAAATGCCACCATTAAATCCGCCAAAAATTTAAACCTAAAAGGATTAATTTTGAAATTTCACCACTGCCCTGAAAATAAGAATCCTTCTTTACTAATTATCCTAATGTGAAAAAACTTGCTCAAAGAAACATGAAGATTATTTAGCATTGCCCCGTGTCAAAAGTTAACGAACAGTGAATAATGTTCAACAAATAAGTACACTTCTTTCGTAGGCCATGATGCACTGAGTTAACACGACATAAGTCAACAAAAGCTAATTGAATGACAATTGACTTTTTACCCGGAGCAAACAACGAACTGAAATTTGTACAAAATCTAGCTAAAGCCATCCCATTCCATTCTCAAAATAAGCTCTGAAAATTGTTTGAAACGCAAAAACTAGATATGCGTTTTTGCATTTCATTTTCCTTTTCACACGCTGAAATTTGTATAGTATATAAAGCTTTCCACTGAACATATTTACACGATTTTAATGACGCACTTTAATACGCCAAACAAGAAACTGATATAACGAAGGAAATTTTCAGAGGCACGAATTTTTCATTTCGCGAAGCCGGCGTTAATACCATCATTAAAATTCATTGTCTGTTCCGATCGACTGTATGAAGTGAAAATATATCTCAGAAACGTGTAATGAATAAATAAATGCTTTTACAATCGTTATACTCCCCTATATATCTGGAACTAAGTCTGAAAATCGGCAGTTTGTTGTAGGCAACACTTTATCCTACAACAGTAGACTGTACGTAGCAACTGTCGCATTCACGAAACTTCGCGATAAAGTGAACAATAGAGAAACTCCCGTCAATAAAGATTAATTTCGACGATTATCTCACAATGCTTTTCCATTACCAATCATAATTATATGTTTCTAACATTTCCAGGCCCCTAAAGGTAATTATATAATGAAAATTTCATAATTTATAGACGGAAAACATAGATAGGAGGGGCTCCCGCTTTGTCTTCAGATACATATTTGATTACAGCAGCAGATGGCGTATAAAAATTAATGAAGTTATTTAGTGATGTTTTCATCGGTGTAATACAATGAAATTGGAGCAGAATAAAGCACTAAAGTGCGATTTTATTACGTAGGTTCAACATTTACGACTGATGCGCGCTCTGGAGGGCACAAGTCACTCTAAAATGGAAATTATTATGACTCGCATTTCTCAATTTTCTCGTACAATACCGAAATTCTAATTATTGTTTGTCATCTTTCATTTAGTTTAATTTATGGCGGGTACAAGCAATTTTCCACGCCTAAATTGCCGTTGGGAATTTATAATTTTTAATAGTTATTTGTTCCCGAGATTTGTCCTTTAGGATTTGGAGTTCGAGGGGCGGGGTGTGATTTTAATTGCAGTCATTTTCAAAATTTATGTTTAATATTCGTTTTTACGACCAGAACTCGTTTTCCGCTAACGGATCCTAGTTTAAAACTGCCATTACGTCGGTGAGTCGCAAGTGCAGTGACATTTTCTGAAACTCTTGGTATTTACAGAAAGTGAAAATGAATTGCAGCTGCGGGAAAGCATCAGAAATGATTGCCAGTTTATAGTGATCGTTCTCAATTCATATTTTTCTCCCGCAACTACCCACACTTTTTTAACTCGTCATTAATTCTGAATTTGGGGAGTATTGTAATGCCAACGTATTAACGAAATAAAAAAATTCATTTTAAACCACAATAAACGTTGGAATTGCGTGTTTATGTTAGACCGATCAATCCAAGGATAGGTTTAATGGAGTTACCCAATACTGCACAATCAAGAGTCAGATTTTTAGATGCGTATGTAAAGAATTGACTACACCGTATATTTTTGGAATTCCCAGCTCTCCTGAACGCATGGTATAAAGAGCCGCTGCGTTACGAAACTGTTTTGCCGAAAGTATTTGTGTTGGGCTAGGAGTGGAAGATACAGAAGCTGAAGATACATAAGTGATTTAATTTCTAGAGTTCTCGTTCTCGTCCAGATATTTCAGTGGGTTTTGTTGCGTAGGTAGCTTGGCTTTTTTGTTAGGGATGTCTCATACGTAGTTTTCTCATGTACGTTTCAAGGAATTGAGAGTTTAAGAAAATTCCTTTAGTTTCATTAATGATTTATCCTTCAGGGGTTAGAATGATTATTTGTTAGGGGAAGGTTGAAGATTAGTAGGTACAGGGTGTTAATACAAGTTGGGACATATTACAGTTTTTGATAAGTAGGTATTTAGGGGAGTATTACATAGGTGTGGGCGACTTTCATTTGAGATTAATATACAGGGTGTTTGAGAGATTTTATGTGATTATTTTGCATAACTCCTGAATATTTGAATTTTTATGTTATATGGAAACTGTTATGGGATGGATCTCGAAACCCCTAACTCTATAATACAATAGGTTCTAGCCAAAGGTGGGTGCCTGATCTCAAACGACGAACACAAATTCTGAACATACCCGTATATTGTTGTTATGGTGCGATGGGTAATGTCCTGACGCAGGCGCCTGAGTTCTTAACTGTAAACAAAAATAATATATTTGTGTAATCTTCGTACCGTGATCCCTTGGAGTGAATGCCGGGATCAATCTTAGTATACAATTTCATTTTCGTCAGTTTATAAAGGAGAATTGGAAAAGACGTGAGCAAGTGAGTACGTATCCTGGAAGGTTTTCAATAGCTCTTTTTTCCTTCCTTGTAACAAATGAAGTCCCTAGAGCTATTCTCGTGTGATTAAGAGAGGGCACCACTGATGTGAATTTGGATGATTGTTTTTGTTATTATTTTGTTTACGTTGGCCGATCATTAGAGCGACCAGGGGCGAAAAGAAAATTTCAAGCGATTATACAATTCGCTGCACCTCCTTCGGTTGAGATAGGGAGCGGTATATCTACTACTTCCCCACCATACATACCGTACTTTCAAAACAAATCCCTGTCAAACATTCCCAATTCGACCACTAGAGGCGCTGCTATAGACTAAACAAAGTGTCCGGATTCTAAATGGACTAGACGACACCGCGTATGAGGCTACACATCTTTGTCGTTCTAACATATGACATTTAGGTTAGAGAGCAAGTGGGTTTTTAGTTTTACGAACAGGTAAGGCATGTTTGTGAAGGAATGGACAACATCCACTTAAAAGCGTCACTGGTTTGATACCACAAGTTTGTCAAGGCATGCAGAAATGTCAAAGACAAAGTGCCAAGGGACATCTGAGGTCTAAAACCAAAACTTGGTATGTAAGTGTGACCAAATTATTGGGAAATGCATAAAATAGCGTTTTTGTGGTTTATTTTTCAAAACCCCCACACCTCCTGGAATACGATACTCAACCATCACTAACATTTTCTTTCCTCTAAATGTCATCCTGGATCACGTCCTGAAAGCGACATGAGCAACTTGTTTCCAACACACAACATCACTAGACAGGTTTGTCACTTGGCGATCATGTGCCATGAGTTCCAGTTAGTTTTGGTGATTTTTGGTTTTGAGTTGCGCAATCGTTTTTCGGTTGCGTCCTGATGTAACTAAGCACTCGTTTTCCGCCTTGAAGTTTTAGCGATCACTTTGCAGATGAACACTCGGTATCTAGAACTTAAAACGCTTCTGGATATCGCCCATGCAGGTTTACGCCGTTATTAGGTTGAAATTCCAAATAACAATTAACCTCGCCGCCTTTAAAAGTCTCAATCCCGCCAATTAAGTAAGTGTAATTAGCGGTAGCTGATTAAATGAGATGCAGAAACAACATCCGATTACAACGTGAGGGGTCTCAAATGTAGCGCTCTTATTCACATTTATAATTTCGCAATTTTGCGAAGAAACGTAAAAGATTTAAAGCCGTATCGACAAGGTATCATAAAAAAAGACGCGCCCCTTAAAACGGTCTAGGTACCGGGTGTTCATGTGATCACTAAAACTGGTGTCTCCAAGGCGGAAAACGAGTGCTTTGTTACATTGTTTTCCAGATTGTTTTATTACAAATCTTAAACTTGAAGTTGGCAGCTTTAACGGACATAGTCACGTCGAAACATTTTGGAAACAATTTGCATCTGTAATTTATAATTTTCAACATGAAAGCTAAGATTTTAAAATTTGTGGTATGTGGACTGTATATGGAATGCTTTTTCCAGGAAATTTTCCGATAGGTATTCACGCAGGATTAAGCCATCTGTCATAAATAAAAAAAAAGATTTATATTTTTGTAATAACGATACTTTGTGGAACAAAAATTATGGAATAATTAGGGAATAAAATAATGAGATGTGATTCTAAACACCAACATAACATTTTTGTTTCGATCATTCATATCCTTCCCTATTATTCAATCTCACTCCAAAGAAAAAGTCCAAGGTCTTCATAAATTTTATAAAGTATTAGTCAATTATGTAAATGAGCATTTAGTTGAATCATCATTGGAAGTACATAATTCTAATAAACTGTACTCAGCAAAACTTTCTCTTATGGAACGAAAAATTCAGCAATTATAAAAATGTGCAAGGGTTAAATAACTGGATGCCAAAATGCCTCCGATTTTCGATATACTGCACGGTTAGTCAAATTAAATTAATTAAATTAAATCAGAAACCGAACCTGACCAAAACTTTTGCGTAAATGAATAATTGTTTACACTATAAGGATAATGGCCTCAGCGGCTAAAAAACAATACGATCAATGGGAAAACGAATTGCAAATCGACCTCATATAACCGAAGTGTTACCAAAAGAAAAAACACAGGGAATGCGGATTTAGAAGCGATCAATCTAAGACAATTAGTAATAATTATGTAAATGGCTGCAAGTAGGTTAGTGAGAGGTAATATTTTATGACATGCTGTTTTATTACATTAAGGAACTGTCGTACAAAACTCGCCGAGCTCAATTCAGGCCAAACAGCTTTTTTTTTGTGCGCGGACGTAATTTAAACAATTATATCACATTTTGAAATGCAATTGCGACACGATTCATTCCGCAAAAGTCATCGTGCAATGGCAAGGTTAACTAATTTAGCGGTTGGAAAAACATAATTGAGTATAAGTCAGGAAATGAATATTTTACTATAATTGATGCTGTAATTAATCAAAGACAAACTAATGAAGAAAGTACTTTAAATAATTAATCAAGCCGGTACGTTGACATAAACGCTGAGAAAAAAGGGTATGATGTAAAATTAATTTTCCTCGAGGTTCAGTGGAGGCAAGCAAACATCGTCTAATCAAGATGGGAGAAAAAATAAAAGTTTAATTTAAATTTTTAAATTAGAAACTGGTTTCTAAATTATAAATTTGTAATAAATTATCGAGAGCTCCGTTAAACGTTAACTAATTTATTACGCGATTATTAATCGATGACGCTAAGCGTCCATGAAAATTTGAGGTTAAGAATTTTAGATGGAAACCCTAAAAAATCGTTTCGGATTACATTTTACAACCTGTTACAATGGAATTTCACGCTATTTAGTTTCTATTGTTGACGAAAGCTCTCGACGTTTTTATTTACAATGCGGCATTAAAACTCAAAAAATTTCAAATCCGTAAGCCATTAACAACGCATTTTATAACCCCGGACGATACTAAAACGGCCTATAAAGCAATCTTGGTTAATGGGGTGAGATGGTAACCGAATATCAACACCAGATGGATCGACTTGGCACAAGGTCCAATCTGATTACAAGGTCCAATGAGCCGGAGTTAAACGCCGGCACATGCATCGTTCTCCAGCTGTGGTTAAACGGGTGGTCTTCACTTACTTCAATAAACACCCTCGCAGACGCTTAGATTACATTGACTTGTTACAGCAACAATCTCGTTAAGACGTAATTAGTCGTTAACTTAGATTTCTACAGCGTACATTTTAAGTAGCGCGACAACCCTTAAAATCGGTGACGTGATCTAATTTTTCCCCTCGGTGACTTGTGCGTTCGCTTTTATGGCTTAATTATCGCACGTGAAATGGTAGCAAACAACTTTTCGAGATTACGTATATCTTTTAAACCGACACAAAAAACGTCATTACCTATTTAAATAAAAAAAAACTCCTTGGAATTCGTGGTAAACAGTGATAAGAAGGCAGTTGGGAAAACGTCACTTACTCCTCAGATTTTATTGTAAACCCCAGCATTTGCTGTCCAAAATGACACCCATGCGATATTGATATAATGGAAATAAATATATCTACCTAAATGATCCCCATATTTTCGGGGACAAAATGGAAGGAAATCAGTCACGTATGTTGTAGAATGAATCCTAAAATACCACACACTTGCGGTAGTACTATAAATTCAAGTATTGTTAACATAAATAAAAAGAAGTGCATTTAATTCCCTTACATTTCATATAATTCTACTCCAATTTCAATAAATTGGATGTCCATAATCTGAAGTGGGATGTTTCCTGCAGGACGAGCAATCGAGATTTTGCCATAAACTTTTCGCTTTGGAAAATTTCCCCCAACTGTGAATTCAAATAAACCACGCTCCGCTGTTTTCTTTGTTGTGACATAGAAATTCGTTTGTTATCCACTGTAAAAATTAATAAGTTAGCTAATCCTACATTCTATTGCACATGACTTTTTAGAAGGTAAAATTAAGCTCTCAATCTGTAAAATTGTTTCCTAAATTGTTTCTATTTTTAAATAAACGTAAAAAAATACAATTCAGTAATTGTTATACGCCGATCTGGAAGTACAGTGACTTATTCTGCTAGATTTTTTTACGATAGCAAGTTCCTCCATTTCAATTGCGATTCGGACTGGACGTGCCGGAATAGAGGCGCCCGAATTTCAGACACCTTTAAACGCAGGTGCCCGCTTTCCGAACCGGGATTGCTGAAACCACGTCACAAATGCGGTAACGAAGAAACAAAAGCTAGCGCTTTTTCGATTTTGAATTCCGAAGTAGCATTGGCCAAAGCAGAATTCGAAAGCACATAACCATAGGTAAGGTAAGTAAGTTAAGAGACTATTAATTTTAATTGATAGCAGTCTCTGGAGAGTTTGTTTTTTAGGGTTATGAAGCAGATTACTTCAGTAGTACAATAATAAAAGAGCTGTTGACCTTCAAGTTTGATTTCGCGACCATCAATTGGACTTAGTGACTGGGTTCAAGATGTGGCCACAATATTTTTGGCGACCGTGATAGGACAATTTTATGGTATTTTGCGAACTAACTGTGGGATTGCTATTGAGCTTACACGCGGGTAGTATATCGATTTTTTGTAGTTTTTAATTGTTATATATGGATACCCTGAAAAAGAAACGCAGAATTTTACCAGACCAGATCTGGAAAGCCAGTTGAGCGCAGCCGAGGTGGATCTCCAAACGGTAAACGTTACAACAAAAGGAGGAAGCATTGGAGACAGATGACAATGAGTTGTACTATCTTCTCCTGCACAATATTACAGTTACAAAAGAGAATCTGTGACTACACGATTGCATACTTAATTCAAGCTACCCTTCCGTGAAGTTGTGCACGTCAACTGATACAAAGCTACCCTGCTATTTCGGGAAATTATGTCAAAA